CCCCTCCCTCACACCCCTCCCTCACACCCCTGCCTCACACCCCTCCCTCACACCCCTGCCTCACACCCCTCCCTCACACCCCTCCCTTATCTCTACCCTTAGCTCCCCTTCCTGATCTCCAGTGTAATTGTAATTTTATAGTGATGTAATTTATGTCCAGTAATTTGTCTTTGTTATTATTCTTATAATATTTGTATTCATTTGCCTGTATTTAAACATACACTGGGAAGACAATTTTCAGTTAATTTTTATCATGACAATAAACGTTTGAATCTTTGAATTTGAAAGTGGCATCAGTAAACATTTGTCACTACAATGGGGCTGTTTTGCAGCAAGTGGGGGGGATGTTGTGGGATTTTTGCATGCCTCTTAATACAAAATTATCACCCCCACTTGAAATGTGTAAAACAAGAAAGTACTTGAAAATCCCCTCCCTCTATATAGTCCAGCTCGCTCATGCACCTCCTACAGTGACAGCCTGGCCACGCTGCTGCTGTTTTGGACGGAAAGATGCTGATGTTGCTTATTTCTGCGTTTATTGTCACGTTAGTATTATATTATGTGCTATCTTTGAAAGTCGCATTCAAGAATACTGAGAAACTCGAAGTATCTTATAACTAAAGTTGAAACTGTAAGTAGGTATAATTTGTGTGGCTGTACGATGTATTCATGATTGTTAAATTCACTATAACTGAAGCCAGTTTGCTCTTCCTTGTTACCTTTTGTAACATCATTTGATTATACAATACTTCAAAATATATTTTTCACATATTTCAATGGATGAATGTACTGTGTTTTAGCAGTGTATTTGACAATTTGAATTGGCTGATATTTTTAAATAAAATCCAACTATTTGTATTGAAAATATAGGTAGTATCTCTTGATAAATCATTTTGTTTGATCGGAGTGTCACTTTGTTTCTTGTTAAGGTCAGTTAGAAACATTTTTCAACAGGCATCTGAACAGCTATTGTACTATTATAGTAGATCATGTTTTGTCAGCATGAGAAGCATTTGGCCTTGGGTGGACAAGTGAAGTAGAAGTTGTGAGCTGAACGAAGTCTTCCGCTGATTATTCAAAGAATGCAAGACATAAGTTGATGGGCCTATTCTAAAACTTTTAATAGATTTGATTGAGTAATTTTCTGACTTGCGTTTACCGGTAACAAGTGCGAATCCACAAGTCAAGTTACAAGTCATTTTTTGCAAGACCAAGTCACAAGTCAAAAAGTGTAGATACATGTCGAGTCATGAGTTACAAAATATAGCAACTCGAGTCCAAGTCAAGCGATCCAAGTCTACAACTCTGCTTGTTTAGGGGGGCCCCCAAAACCAACAATTGAATTTATGTAACCCATCAGCTTTCTGCATGAGGGTTGAAAGCAGGCATTTTTTAGGCTTTCTACAAGGTTTTGGAAGGGAGGCCTATTAAATAGATCAAAAGTCACCTTTTCTCGTTAGGTTTTCTTACCTTGTCCGCCCTTGTTGATTAGCGGCTGATGATAGAACCCCCACATAACAGACGCAATGCCCCGCCCTTACACTTGTTGGGGAACCCCCCCCAATAATTGGCTTTACTAGATAGAGGGCGGTATGTTAAAAAGAATGAAAGAAAACGCAAAATACATGTTACAAAAGCCCTACACGATAGCTTGACATTTGTGACTAAAATACACATGTAGTCGTTTCTTAAATTTCTTTGGCATACGATCGTCAAAAGTGGTACTGACTTTAGCATGAAGGTTTGGGGAGTTACATGCAAAGTTTGGATAATTACTTTATGGGCACTTTTGTTGTCACTGGTGAAAAACTTTGACCAAAATTTCGGAAGTAAAGCCGATTCGCCGTCGGTAGTGACATTCCACGAAGCGTCAAGTCGCTTCTGGCCCGCACCAGATCCAAATCGGTTTGGCATTGCGTCTAACCTTAACCGGGGTGCTGGAGAAAGTCAGGGTAAACTCTCCAAAACCCAACCGTCGAGTTTCAAGACGAAAGATGGGCGTCCCGCTGCCGTCTTTGACGATGTTTTGGAGTACAAGACGCAGATGGTTTTACATGACTACCTTCATTTGGCAGGTGATTGGAGGTACGGCAGTTTTGCTCATTTGTGCAGACAACTTGTCGCCATTAAAACAAATCCAAATTAAACCATCCAATGAATTTTTTAAACAGTCGCCCTTTATAATCTTATTTTGGATGAACGCAGTTTATTTTGTACAGAGTTCATTGCTAAGTTGTTTCTAGTATCACTGTTGACTTAAAATCATCTGAGGGCCTACTCTCTGTTGAAGTCCTTGAAGTGTAATGCATATTGCAGGATTCAGTATTGTTTATTTAAACCCGATTTTTTACATCCCAGCATCCTTCATGTATTTAAATATTTGTTCACATATTTAGACTCACCAAACCTTCATGTAGCCCATTAACCCCAATAATTTGAAGTACTCTGAAAGGAAATGAATTCCAAAGATGAACTATGAAGCACATTTTATAGTCTTCTCTCATGAATGTCTTTCATTTGGTCTTAAAATTCAGGTTTCACAACTACAATGGTCCAGATGAGAACAGAAATGGAAGAAGTTCAAGTGGGATCCCGTGGATGGCATCATTTGACACAGATACTTTTGGTAAATCCCAGACGGGCAGACATATCCTTAGTCTTGTGAGGAGTCTAGCTCAACCCAGGAAAGGAATGGATGACGACGGCGACTATGAACCTTACAAAGTTGTCTGTAACATCCTGAGAAGGTACATGCACATTGAAGTAACGCAAACGACCTAGCTCATACTAAGTACTGTTAAAACACAGTTCTCATTATGTGTTTGTGCTGGTAAATTTTCAAATCCTTCACAGTCCACCTTCAAGCTGTCAAACATTGGCTGACATTTTTTCTGCTGTGACAAGACTGGGACATAATCATGATAATGATTAGTTTAGACTTACCAAAATTGATAATCGTGATTATAGTTTTTACATGTACACCTCTACATTGCTTGTGTGATGTGGGCATGAGCCCATCTTCAACCAAAAGATTCAAAATCATTAATTGTGATTGATTACCAAGATGATTCATCATTCCATGTTTGCCAGAGGTGATATCATCTTTCCTCATCGAGATGCTCATCGTAATGAGACAGAGTTCACCGTTTTGCTGTACTTGAATCAGTTGTGGAGGAAGAACGATTACGGAGAATTACTGTTGCTTGATGAGGGTGATGTGTTTGCCACCGTGGGCCCCAAGTTCAATAGGGTTGTTGTGTGGGATAGCTCTATCGGTGAGATGCATTTCCGTCCTTGATTCTACTGCAGTGCCTGCTATGTCTCTTAAGTCAGCGCTGAAATTTTCACAAAAGCCCCCAAGCCTCTATTGCCCTGTTCTTGGGTTTTGAATTGAAGTCCTCTTCAGAAGTCAAATTAGCTTGCTGCTTCAAGAAAAATAAATTTCTTTCTCTTTTTTCAAGACATGTAATTTTTATAACCGATATCAAATGTTTATTTTGCCTGGCACCGATAGTTATTGCCAGGATTGGCCAGCTGGTTTGAGTCAAATGAGCAACTGGTACCATGACAGTGGTTTCATGAGATGTAATACTTTTGCTGTTCCTAGACTACCTGACAAGGCCACCAGGCATGGCATTTAAACAGTCCCAGTTCTTCCTGATGGTACATTACACAAGGAATCACACCAAGGCGTTGCACTACAAGGGAGCTAGACTGCAGAGCATTGCGGAACGGAAGCAGGCTACAGCTGAGTTATTCTCCTCGATGAACCAGCCTGTCAGTGAGACTATGGATGTGGGGAGTCATGTCACCATGGTAGAGATTTCCATGGAAATTTCAGAATTCACTCAATCTTCGGAATTAAATCCCAAACAACTAGGAGGAAAATGGTGTCCAAATGTTTAGAATGAAGATTATCACACCAAGAGGCATAAATGGGGAGAAATTGATCCGTAGGTTTTACTTTGTGGTTGTTTTTCAGAAATACCAGGCCAAAAATGGCAAGAAGATCTTTGTGTTTGATGATCTCTTTAGCACGGAGGATCTTGATAAGCTGAGATCGTTCACAGTTCGTCATGGTAAGATATGATGATATAACTGTTCATTACTTGGACGATGGACAATGCAAGTGTAACGTCGTCAAAAAAAGGTACACCTCCCTAACTTTTGACTTAGGATAGATTGTAGGCCCCAACTCAGATTATATTCCATGCTGTGAAAATAAAAAGAATAAATATTCAAGTCACTTATAGGTTCATGACTGTATGTGTTGTGCTTGTAAGTGAGTGCATGTTTAGAACCGTTCCCAAAACATTAAAGTTAATGCTTTCCTGGATTTCTAGGTCATTACTTCTTTGATGACAGCATAGACACAGACAGTGATAACGTGCAGTGGATAGCTGCTTTCAACATCGATGACTATGTTCGCAGCAGAATGTGGAACATCACCAGACGGGTTGCAAGATATGTCTCAGGTAATCAAGAGATTTGGCCAAGTTCATAACATTTCTTTCATGGCAGAAAAATTCTGATCGTCTCAAGCAGTTTGCAAATTGTAATTCCCAAGTCAGTGGTCTTTACTGTGCTCATGAGCAGATAAAGAAGATGATGAATGGTTGGTTTGCTAAATGAGATGATTCAAAAATGATTTTGCTTTTTATATTCACTGGATTGCATTCTCCCAGGAACAGACAAATGGTTCCCCTACGACATTGCCTGCAATGTCATCCGATCTTATGACCACACCCGAATCCATGAAGACTGCGAGAAGCAAGAAGATGAGTGGACTTTCCTGCTGTATCTGACCCCAAACTGGACGGCCAACTACTACGGCGAGACGGTGTTTCGAGAAAATAACCGAGACGATTCAGAATACGTTGCCAGTGAGTTTAGGCTCTGGGTCAATCATACTGCAGGCAGAGGAGCTGCAAGGCTCAGAATTGCTATTCACCTGCTCTCAACTTCAGAGTTACTCGAAATTCAAATGGGATAACCCAAAGTTCGACTGATAAGTTTGTTTACCTTGGTTTGTTGCTTATCAATCTGCCTGTAGGTGTGGTTCCACAATACGGTCGTGTTGTTATCTTCCAAGGAATCATTCCTCACTCGGCCAGACCTCCCAGTACTCTCTTCAAAGGAGCAAGGTAACATGTACTCTTGTAGAGAGCAACACAATATCCAGCCAGGTTCTATTATAATTGAAATTCTAAGGATGCAGAATTGATCCATACCATCAGCTGGGCAGAATTTAACTTGGTTGCATGCCTCTTGTTTATCCAAAGACTTAGGTTCTGATATTTCCTCTAATTTCTTTTGTGGGGGGCGGGTGTTTTTGACTACAGGTTGAGTTTTGCTGTTAAGCTTTCTGCAACTCCTTGGCTGGCCAGGGTCAAGATGCTGAAGCAGGAATTTGCTCATGAGGAAAGCATGCATCAGTCCGTTTTGTCTATCATGAAATACTACAATGTAAGTCCACTGGATGGAGAAGGGGCTGCTTCAGGGAGACAAGCTATCTAGTTGTGGACTAATTTCCGAAACATAGATGATATCTGACTGAGTCGGTCGAAGTAATGAGACATTTAGGCGATCAATATTTTTAATCTCCCATTGTCTTGGTGCCTATTAATCGGTGCCAATCATCAGTAAATTAGAGAATTAAAAATCAAATTTATGCACAGAATCTGCATAAAATTAATATTTACACAAAGTAATGTACTGGACCTTTTCCTTAAAACTAGAATGTCAAGTTGGCAGGACCGTTTGATTAACAGGTGAATTTGCTCTTATTTCAGGATGCGAGCTTTGAGGCACGATACAAGAAACAACTCATTGGCACAGCTCAAGAAATCATGGAATTAGAACAAGAGCAACGACAGAGGTACCTGAAGGATCTACGGCAGATGCACCTGAGCAGAAGGGATGATGAGGACATGCAGAGAGATGAGGATGGAGACGAAGACGATGATGATGAAGATGATGACAATGATAGAGAGGAGGGGGAGGAGTTTGAATATGAAGGGGAGGAGGATGGAGTGTTTGACTTTGAGGAGAGTTATCACCGAGAAGATGAGAATGGTAAGTACTGTCGAGAGACGTTGATCAATGTTTTTGCTGCTGTCTGATGATAATCCTGCACGACAGCATTCTCTCTAAATGTTAATCTACTGAAGAATTGTGGACTGTAGAACTCAGCTTGCTGTACCAATCAAATAGTGAAGAGATCAAGCCACTTGATGCATCTGTTGGACTCTTAACTTAAACTTACTCGAGCCTTTTTCATCAAGATGATTAATTTCATCTTGTATCTTGACCATTGTATCTTTGTCTTTGCATTGCCAGAATTTCCTGAAATTAACTTGAGAAAGGAGTACATCTACAATCTCATTAAGACACTGAACCATGATGCAGAGGCCCTCACAATACACTACGCACAGTTTCTTAAAGACAGGGAGGTCATGACCAAGAGATACTCCGAGGAAATAGCCAAGCTCTTCTGATGATCTTGTCCAAACTTGTCTTCCATCTTGCAAACAAATTTGCATCAATATTTATAAACTGGAGCTGGATGGATTTCTAGTGTGCAGCTGTTGGAGCAAGTTAGTGCGTATTTCTTCTGAGGAGCTCTACAATTTAAATAAGAGATATACACCGAGATCTGTTCCATTTTGTTCTTTTTTGAATCCTAACCCTCTAGGGTGTATGTAAAAATCATATTGAAATTGCAGGGTTGAGGACTACGTTAGGGTAAGCTAAGAATAGGGATTGCAGATTTGTTAAATTGTCGACGTTTGTTATTTTTTGTACAGTCTTTTAGAGCAGAACTAATTTTTTTGTTTTGGGGCATTCAAACAGGGTCACCCCAAATCATACAGGTTGTTAGCAGTGACAAAAAGCTTTTTAGAAGACATTTACTAATTTTTTCATAGAATCTTGCCTAAAGATTTGTTTGAACTCAAATTTTTGTTTACAGATTGAAGCCTTGTGGTCAGTTTGAGTATTTTTCTCAGTTTAAAATTATTTTTGTAACGCCTTCCTGAGGACAAATATTTGATGTAATTTGCCTCGCATAAAATTACTCAGAATGATGTTTAAGCCATTGTAATGAAGAACATTGAAGAATCTTGGTTTCTACCTGAACAAACTTATGAGAAAAGACAGATTTGAACACCATTTTGTGAGTTGCAAACGAAACTAATAACCCACCTTGAGTCTTTAATAAATCCAGTACTCCTAAACAACTTCCAAAATATTGATTTCAAAATCATTCCACAAATTAATTATGACGAGAATCGTAAAAAAAAAATTACAACACAATTGCGGACTGAAGATGACAATAAGATTGATGATCTGCTGCATAACTTGAAATCTGCTGTACAAAAATATGTTCAAGAAATGCAAATCATCTTTTTTACCTTTAATCTCAATTCATTCTTGGACAAAAGAACCTTTATGTACAAGCAAGAGCAAATCATCTTTTTTACCTTTAATCTCAATTCATTCTTGGACAAAAGAACCTTTATGTACAAGCAAGAGTTTGTATACTATTTACAATAGACGTGACAGTCCTACATTTAATATTTTTTTGGCATTTCAAGTTAAATCGGTCAACAGTACTTTTGTGTTGTAACTTTGATGCAAGGACCTTTGTATATATTTCTAAAGGGCTGGTTGCCAAGATAAGTAAGAATATCATGTTACAGTTTGACTTCTTTGTAACCAATAAAACAGTCTCATATTTTTGTAACTTTGTAAGATCGGTCTACCATTCGTTTTTCCAGAGTGGATGCATCTCCTTTTGTATATTTTTCTAAAGACGTACAGACTCATGGAGTTACAAAGATGAACTATGAGCAAAATGTTGATATGTTTGACTTCATTGTGACATAGAAAACGATGATATCTGAGTAGGAATCCTATTTCCTTGACAACTTTCCCCACCCCACAATTTATTAGGTGGGGAACCAATGTCTTCATGTGGTTGCACTTTCTTTCCCCATGCATTGCTCTACCTTCTTTTACCCTTAAAGAGTCGGGGGGGGGGAGCAGACCCCTTAACATTTTTGCTGATTTTACAAAGCATTTCATGTGTTGAGCCATCCAATTTTTTGGGGTCATACCTTGCAGTCATTTTGACCCTAATCAGGCAAACTGTTTTTGCGCAGTGCCCATCTCCTTCCGATGGGTCAGACAAAATGTTATACCACTTCAGAGCTCCATGCAAGCGGGCCGACATGTATGTGGCCGTGAACTTCAAACAGCCATAACAACAAAACCGTTGTATTGATAACGAGTGACATTCATGCACGCCAAGTTGAAAGACTGAGTGCGGGATAGCCCACTTCTTGGAGGATGGTTGTTGGCAGAACCTGCCCTTTTCCGGCTGCAAGATGGTTGGAAAAAGGTGAAAAAGATGAAATTGGATAATGCACTATGACACTGTGCAGCCATTCTGGAGGTTAAAGCCACCCTCGATGTCAGAGATCAATCGAGGAATGCCATCTAGCTCACGAAGGTCAGGAAGAACTTTGAAAACACTGCAGGATAGAGAAAAATCAATAACAGAACAATGAAAGCAGGTTGTATGAACCCTTTGTCAACACAAATTTATGTATTGACCCCTGAGGGAACTATTCACTCAAATAGTCCTGCATCCTTCAATTCTAATGCTTTATAAAACAGTCAAGTCTACAACGTGCTTACAGATTTTGTGAATGGAATAAAGCACATTCATTAATACCTCAGACAGTCTCCCTATTGAATAACATGCAACTTGACTGTGTATTAATATTTGATAATGCCTGCTGAGAAGTGATAATGCACGCTGCATAAATCACGCGCTAGCTCCTGCAAGGATACAAGACAATTTTAATCGATTCTGATTGGTCAAGACTAGAGTCTCTGTGCATGCGGCTTGCCACGTCGTACGCCAAGTCTATATAAGGAGATTTGTAGACAACTATAAAATAAAATGGACGGGGGTGTTGAGGAAAATGACGGTAAAATTCTGCAACAAAATTGTCATATATTGACTTCTTTTGACTCTGACTAAAAAGGTATTCATGAATGGGAATAAATATGTGCTTGGCCGGTTACCAGCTCAGGAGACAGAATGCTCATAATGCCCACACCTGTGGCTCGGGCATTGGTCGTGTCTATTCTCCTGAGCCTGTCTTAAATGCACGTGTAAGACCAGCACATATATATTCCCTCAGTAAAGTAACGTTGAGGTGGCAATGCTCACCTTTGCCTATAACATTCCTGGAAAGAGATTGGGTTGCGTCTGAGATCAAGGACCTCCAGCCTGCTCTTTCTTAGGTTCTGTAGGCCGTCCAGAGATTTGATGGAGTTGTCACACAAGAGGAGAGTCCTCAGGTTGGGAGTCTTGGGAAGTTTCTGCAGGAAATTAAACAGTGGCTTCATTGTTATCCACTCAGTTTGTGTAACAATACAGGGATTATGCCTGTCCTGACCACAGGATTAAGAATAAGCTCATGCAGAGGCTTCTCTGCTAATGGTGTAACTCAGGCCTGCAACTTGTCAACTTTTCCACTTCACAGTCATGCCACTGAAATTCGAAAAAACACTGTACAAATCTGGTAAAGATTGGAATTTCCTTGTTTTTGTCGAAGTCCAAGCTGCAGACCTGGTAACTAAGGAAATTTATGTCAAGCCATTTTCTGTGATGAAGCTAAAAACTGACTGCATTGGTCTCTTCTGATTTGATGAGCCAATAGGTTTTCAAATCCTCTTTGTGATTTTTCTTTAGTTAAAAAATCAACCTAAATAAAACTGGTCAAGTGCTACAAAATGATTAAAAAAACAAACTGAGTGAAAGAGCCGAAAAGTTAATTTGTTTACCGTAAATGAGGCAAAGTAGTTGTTGTTGAGGTTCAGGACAGTACATCTGAAAAAGAAAAGGGGGACAAAGTTCAACTTGGCTCCACATACTGCATTTTGGTCACCCTGAAATTCTGTCACTTGACAGTCACAGCTTTTAAATGTATGTAATTACCTACATGTAATTTGGACATCAAACCTGATTAATCAGAAATACAATACAGTTGTTTCAATTTGGGTTCCAAAGTCAAAGCTAACCTTAACTACAAACCTGTTCCAGTACCCTGCTGGACTATTTTTCCTCCATGCAAGGCCAAATTTCAAGAAACCTGATTAAAGTCTTAAACTTTTCCTGCAAGTAATGCCATCACAATCTCACTTCCTTCAAAACAATCTCTGAAAGAAAGTTTGGAAGACTCTTACGATGGGAAGCTGACTTTGCTTAGGTCTTCTAAGTCATCATTGACGAGTTGTATCTTCTCAGCCCGGATTAATCTTCTCAAGATGCGCATGAAATTCTCAACTTGGTAACGGTGCCCTAGCTCCTGGTAAGACAAGTTGACCATCTGTTGGTGACAAACATTCAAAGCAATAATTGTCTTTGATATGAACTGTATAAAAGTATCTTAAAGGTATCTGATGAACTGATGATCAGTGAGTGACAATCGAGACCAAGTCATCCACCCTCCAACTTACCAGACTATTTTCCCAATTTTCAATCCTCTTTTCGTAGTCTTTCTTCTCTTGTCCCTTCTTCCCATGATGCAACTGCCTCCCCTGCTGGTCCTTGATGCTGTAGAAGATCTTGTCTTTGACCTCAGGTCCTCGTCGGACCCTGGGATTGTTCAGTTCATCACCTTTGATTTCGTTGTTGTGAAGTTCATGCCAGACAGTGTAGCGGTAACGACTACTTGGAAGCTGAGTTGAAAGTTCAAACAGTAATTTAATACATAGATTTTTTTGGCCATTTTTGGTTTGAAAAGCTCATATTTACCATTGGGCAAAGATATCACAGGCAGTGGAAATTATTCTGAACAACTTTCCAAAAGTATTTTTTGTTTAATTGTTTAAAGTTTAATTTGTTAATTTTTGGTTCCCACATCTAGCATGATAATGAATGGATCAAGTGTTCAGCTAACTGGCAGAATACCCTGCCACCCTGCATGATCAACCTCATACTTCATAGCCAGGTACAGCTCAAACTGTCACACTCTTCTCAACTCAAGGGACTTTCTCCTTGTACCCACGTAGCCAGTCATACCAGGGGTTGTTTTTCTAGAGTGGCGGGGTATTCTGCAATTACTCCAAGGGTTTCAAATGAAGTCTTTCATACCATCATTTTAATCAAGATCATTTTGGACCTGGTAGGGACACCAAAGGAAATTAGTCATGCGGGCAGGGCTACCGGGCTTCGTGATGGATATGAGGGAGGAGAGGCTCTTAACATATCTGATTACCTTGGGGAGTTTGGCAGGTTTCTGATCCTTTTCTGTATGCGTACTGATGGTGACAATGGGGATGTTGGTACCCGTCACTGCAACATAGGCATTGGCGTCACTACTACTCTGCAGTGAGGATGACCTAGATATAAGAGGGTTGAAGGGGGTCACCATGGAGGAAGAAAAAAATTGACTCAGACCATGCTCTGCTGACCATATGTAAACTGTCACTACAAAATGAGAGTAAAGTTGCATCCCACACTTTCCTATTGTGAGGGTTCAAAGTCATATTGAAATGGAGGTCAATTTTTAGGTTTTGTAATATTTGAAAGCATAACTCACCTCATATTTCATTCCAAATATTTTGCAAAATCACATATTCAAAAATGTCATTTTCTCAGCAATTTCGACGATAGTATTATTCCTGCCTGGTCTAAAATGTTGAAACAATGTCAGGAACAAAGACGCAAAGCTGCCAGAATAATGCCATATTGTCACCTTAGTACCCTAAATGTTCCATGTACATACAATTGTTGGAAAACTCTCTTTCTGCTGAATTAAAAATACCAGTATCTCAGTTTTTGAAAATTCCAACTTTCAGATCATTTTGTAGTGACAGGTCACATATATATAGCTTAGGCCTACAAGACATTCAGACGTTGCGCATGGCATGAGGCTCATATAAGTTTTGTTGCAAATTTCGTATCAAGTTTTACCCTTCGATTTCCATTTCCTCACTCATGGCAGCGACTAAGCTTCTTGGCCAAGTCCTCTGAGGAAAGCTCTAAAAATGCTCCGAGAGAGAGAGAGAGAAAAATTAAGTTATTTCGAGCATTTAGCACTTCGGCAGGTGTCCGGCAAGATGCACCTGCAGCAATTACACACGCAAATGAGCGCTGCGTCATTATCTCCATGACAAATACAGCTGAAACAGCGCCCTCAATTTTCCTGAAAACTCTAGTAGGTAACCTTTGACCGAAAGACTACGGCACGTGTGTTACATCAGTTCGGTGGTCGGTTTCGTGAGATTTCACTGCCAATTTTCAACAAAAAATGTCGTGGCTTTTTGGATTGGGAAAAGCTCCCCCACCACAGGAAGCCCCCCAGCTTCCCACCCTACCAGAAGGACTTTTCCCGGGTGGTGGAGGAGGAGGAGATGGTGGCAAGAAGGCCGGGGGGGATGGTGATGGTGGAAAGTCCGGGGCTATACCCGGCACAGGGAGTTGGAGTAACTTCGACCCGACGGGGCTAGAGCGCGCCGCTAAGGCGGCTCGGGAGCTCGACAAATCCCGTAATTTCTTTGTCATTGTTCTGATCGTCTTTCGATTGTTTATTGGTAGCATTAAGTGACTCACTAGCAAACTAATTGTTATAAATATCTGCCTGTAAACCACTATCATGTTTATTTTCAATTGAAAAACATTTTAAACATTCTGGTCAGGCATGTTACTATTATGCTATTATTAGGGTTACTGAATATGTTAATGAATTTCGAAATTTATTTCAAACAGTCAATAGTCATGTATGTCACATTAAATGAGAAATGTTTGCCTACTTGCATTTGAAATTGTCGGATTGGTCACTTGTTGAGCAATATGCTGTACATGCCCATACAGTTCATAAATCTGACTTCTTAACGCTTTATACTAACTTAGGTTAACTAAAACAACTTTCACCCATAGGCCATGAGAGTGAACATTTGGATTTCTGTCCGGACAGTTTTGAAAACCCATGAGGCTTTTTTTCATTATTCATTAGTTGGTGTGCATACCACACATTGATTACATGTGTTCATACAAAGGGAACCAACCTTGATGAAAGTAGACTAGCTCTCAGTCCATCTTGCATCTTGTACACGGGCACTGTATGAACTCCCCATTTACTTTGCAGCCAATTTTTAACTATTTCCGACGGGAAAAACAATGATCTTTCCGAAATAATAATTTTTTGGAAAATAACGAATATTTCTGCAGCCGTTTCAGCGATATGCGGGCGGTGGACGGAAATCCGGGATATTCATTCTCATGGCCAAATAACTGATGTTTCTTTTGCTGCCAGCACTATGCCTGTGTGTTCATAAGCCTCCTAAGGATGTTTATGCAGTACCAAAGCACCAGTGATATATTTCCTGAACATGCTGAATGCTTTACAAGACTGTACTTGATTGATCCACGTTTGATATTTTAGCAAATGCAAAGGGTGCCCTGGAACTTGCGAAGATGCAGGAAGGAACCAAGCAACAAGAGCAACTATCTAAGATCAAGGTCAGTCCAGTCTGTGAGACAACTGCATAGAGGATCTCATCACTATACTTGTCAAAAACCTTAAGAATTCATCAGCGATTAATTTGCTGCAGGTTCTTACACTGTAGCATTGAGACAATCTCTGATGTGTCGATGAATCTTCAAGATGAACCCTAACCCTCCAAGATCCTTCAAACAACAACAAAGAGGTTAGAGAATTTTGTAGGATTGAGTGAGGTACAACTCGGCCACTGTCTGCAACCCTACAAGGGGTTTCACAAGCCATGAGATTTTGCGTTTTGGAAAATTTGAATTTTGGAGGACTCAGCAAGGTTCATAAGAAGAAAGAATGCTTCCTAAGTTTCGGCTAGATAAACATTACTGTTGTAAAATTAAGACTTTCAAATGTCATTTGTTTTCTTAACACACAGGAGTATGAGGGTGCGGTTGAACAACTGAAAGTTGAGCAGATCAAAGTTCAACAAGAAGAAAAGCGGAAGACTCTTGGAGCAGAGACACAGGAGCATCAGAAGAGAGCACAATACCAAGACCAGTTGGCCCGCAAACGCTATGATGATCAGCTCTCTCAGCAAGTAATGAAGACTCGAACTTGGGCTACCATCAGCAAAGAGAACAAATTCAGGAACTTCATCATTTTCATCAGTAATTCACTGGAAAGTCCTGTATATATTTGTATATTACTCATTTGTTTATTCTTGATTTTCAGAGACGAATGAATGAGGAAAACCTTGCGAGACAAGAAGAGTCGGTCAAGAAACAAGAGAGCATGAGACGATGTAAGCAGAGATTAATCCTGTCTGTTAGCTGGTCTATTGGTGCTGTTAGTTTCAAAACAGTATGGTGCCAGATAGAATGACAAATGGTTCTGTCCGTAAGCCTCTTGATTGGTTTTATTTTAACTGCAGAGGATGGGGAGGTCAAAGGTTGCTGATACTTTGTCAAGGAGATTGTGTTGACTAGAGACACAGTTGGTGTCCCCCAAAAATGAGGCCATAATTTTAGTTTTTCTAAGTACAACCTTTCCAAAAATTAATCTGGCTCGCTGGATTGACCTTTGACATTTGTCTCACAGCAACCATAGAGTACGAGGCGGAGCTTCGGCACAAGAATGAAATGAAGAAACTGGAGGCGGAGCTTAGAGGCAAGGCCAAGATTGAGAGGGAGAATAAGGATATCCATAATGAGCAAATCAAACTACAGGCTGCTGAACATCGAGAGACGGTGCTGCAGTCAATCAAGTTAGTAGTTCTGAAGGAATGCCATCGACTATTAATACCTCAAGAATGATGCAGGGGTTGGAAAATGGGAAGATTGGACTTTTTTCCATAGTAGTTTTGAAGAATCATTTTAAATGTCTCTTTTTCTCAACATTTCCCAGAACTGCAGGAAGTATAATTGGTGATGGTCTGAAGAGTTTCATCTCAGATTGGGACAAAGTCTCAGCAACTGTAAGACTCTGTTGATCATCAATTCTCTGCTTATTCTCTGGATATTTTAATATCTTCTTGTCTGAATGGTTCAGCACGTAAATGAAAACATCAGTCTTGTCTTCTAGTCTATCAAGATAATCCTAATTGCACATGTTTAATGAATTCCTTTCAAATTTTGCTCATTACTAGTTAGTAAGCTCACCCATTGATAAAACATTGTCAACCAATCTGTAGGCTGCAGGGTTAACGTTGATTGCGTTAGGCGTCTACTCGGCCAAAATGGGTACTGGTGTTGCTGCCAGGTACATTGAAGCTCGTCTAGGCAAACCCTCTCTAGTCAGGGAAACTTCACGGTTGACGCCATTAGAAGTTTTACGTCATCCGATTACGACAACAAAGAGGCTGATTAACAAGCCACTAGATGCTTTGAAAGGAGTAGTCTTAAAGGTAAGTAGAAAGTTTCGTTATGTGGCTCCGTTTTATATCAACTTCTTTGGGTATAGTTGCAAGGGGCGTAATGAATAACTTCCAAGTTTTGTAACTGGTGTGTCTGCATCAATGTTACAATTTCTCAATGATTCCTTCACAGCCATCACTCGAGGAGAGGTTACGTGAGATCGCCATAGCAACGCGGAACACAAAATACAATAAAGGTTTATATAGAAACATTCTCATGTATGGCCCACCGGGAACAGGCAAGACGTTATTTGCCAAGGTAAATTCCAGTCAGTTGAATTTCTTTGATTTTTGTCCCAGTTTACCCCCGTACCATGCAGATCAATTTTTGCAATACTCACTTCAGGGGTAACAGGTGTAATTATGTTAATTTTTGTATTTGCTGCAGAAACTTGCTCTTCACTCAGGAATGGACTATGCCATTATGACAGGAGGGGATGTGGCACCAATGGGAAAAGAGGGGGTCAGTGCGATGCACAAGCTCTTTGACTGGGCTTCCACAAGTAGAAGAGGGTGAGTGTAAAATGACACCTGTGGAGTAATGGTAGAGTCCAACTTCATAGCCTTCCAGTGAATGTGCAAAAAAAAAATTCTGCATGTTTTTAATTTGGGCGATTCACAAGAGTGCGCCTCTAAGAGTTTACATCGCGTTGGCCAATCACAACATGCAAAATCTGTCAACCCTTTCCAACTGTGTATTGGGTCAACAAATTTTGCGCACTGTGATTAACCAACGTTTTGCAAACTTGTGGAGATGTACTCTTTTGAAACATCCTTATCCTGAATGGTTGGTGCTTATTCTTGGTTCTGAAATATAGAGCTGTTTTGTGCAGTTAGGTTACAGCAAAGCATAAACTGAATACCTCGCTTTACTCCGGGTTTTTCTCTTTTAGTGTTCTCCTGTTTGTTGATGAAGCTGATGCTTTCTTAAGACGAAGAAGCACAGTAAGTAATTTTTGAAACTTGTTCATAAAATCCTCAGTTTGGATTTGTCAACTGGGTCATTTTTTGTCACGGTTCTTTCATCGGCCTTACACATCACACTGTTCACCCTCAGTGTCCTTGTCATTTGTCTCTTGTAGAAAGTCTGAGGTATTTTGTTTTTTTGTACAGGAGCTTATTAGTGAAGATGTAAGGAGTACATTGAATGCTTTCCTGTATAGAACTGGAGAACAGTCCAGCAAGTAAGCAACTTTGACGTTATTCTTGTCATCAGTGTTTTCAACTTTTGTTGATCAATGACTCCTAGGGCACAAACGTGTCCTGGAACATACCAAAAGGCAGACGTCATGAAAAGACCTTGTGTTTAATCATTCATTTTTCTTTCAGGTTCATGTTGGTGCTTGCTAGCAACCAACCTGAGCAGTTTGATTGGGCAATCAACGATCGTCTGGATGAGATGGTGTCGTTTACACTTCCAGGGTTAGAGGAAAGAGAACGAATGGTGCGATTGTACTTTGATAGCTACGTCATTAAACCAGCTACTCAAGGAAAGAGGTAAAAGATTGGGAGGATTTCCAGTGTCAGTCTGGTTCCTCTGTTGTAGTTAATTTCTGCATTGTTGTGTCAAACTTGTGTGTGGTTTCCAGACAACACAAAAGCTGTTGAGATTTTGCTCAGCGTCTTCATGACCTTTGACCTGCTGATACTGTTTTGTGTTGCAGGAGGTTAAAGGTTGGCCAGTTTGACTTCAATGAGAAGTGCTCCAAGATTGCAGAGATGACTGAGGGTTTGTCTGGCCGAGAGATTGCTAAGCTTGGAGTGGCTTGGCAGGTAAGCAGTATTTATTAGTAGTTGAGTCGTCCACTTGAAAGCAATATTGCTAAGCAGGGAAGAAAATAGTTAAGCGAGAATCACTTCAGTGGTCAAAATACTATGAAGTGGGTTGCACTTTAAATTGGTTCCCTGAGGAATGCTGCTCAATCCAGAGGTTATCTAAGCAGAAATTTTGTTTCAACAACTGTCTAGAAATGTACCAGAAGTGCCTGATTTCAGCATGGACTATCACATGTAAACTTTCTGAGCATTCCATTGTTTGGACTTCATTTCCTGTTTATGTGTTTATCAACAGGCCAGTGCATATGCTTCTGAAGATGGCATTCTAACCAGTGAGATGATTGATGCCAGGGTCCAGGATGCGGTTGCTCAGCACACCCAGAAGGTTGACTGGCACAAGAGTGAAGACGCAAAGCTGGAGAAACTAGAGAAGATCCGGGAAATTAAAACTAAGGGATCGTAGGAAGGCACTGGAAAATGCTCAGCAGTGGATGCTAAGTTAATACCTGTGCTGTTTTCTGGATGGACAAAATAAGGATGAAAACTAATCATTGACTCAATTTATTAGTCAAAACCAGGATTTTAAAAGAGGGTTGGAGGAATGCAAACTTTTGACCAACTCCACTGTTTCCAGCACAGCGTCCCTCTTGTGACAAGGACAATTTTAGGTCTCTGAATGTTTCTGTTCTTTGATCTCCAAAACTGCTGTCACAGGGTCCCACCTTTTATAACGTGATAGTTTGTAGGGTCTCAATGACTTTGTCATAAAGGTTTTTGACCATATGGGTGGGGGTAGGGGTGGGCGGGGCAGGGGGTGGAAAACCATAAAGAGATGGCCAAGGTGATCTGACCTTCTGTAACATACCCCTCTTTGTACATGTACCTTCAGTTTCCTGAATTATGAATAAATCAATGATGATTTATGCATAGTCTTTTTGCAGCAGGTTTTTGGTAGTATTCCTTTGTAATTCAAATAATAATTACAAAATGCAATGATTGTACATTCTTAGAAAACTGTCTTTAATGTTATCTTTTGAGAATGCTTCTAAATCAGCTGATGTGGACTGTGAAAGAACTGTTTTAAGACGGAAATAAATGACGAGGAAAAGTTGAATTATTTTAAATGCCGTTTATTTTTTTATAATTTTGGAAATTTGCCGACCAAAATGTTTCTTAAAGTGCAAAATGAAACCGAAAAGTCTCAGCACAGTTGTTGATGAAGGTCTGGTAAATACACAATTCTGATGTTTTTGACTTAATGTCCGTCAATTTAGGCTTTTGAGAGCCTTTTAAATGTATGTATCAAACATGTTTGTTTGGAAAAGTGAACACTAAAAAAATTATACACATGTAGTTCTTGGCCCATAATTTTGGGAATTTACGAATTTTTAAAAGACAGTGGGCGTGGTGTGAAAATTGCAATTTATTAAAACGTCGCGAGGCCTGCGGCCCAAATTAGTAATGAACGATTTTTGGCTATTTATCTCTGGTTGGTTCCCCAGACAAATATAAATCTGTTTACTATTATAGCGAAAGGTGAAGTCATCTACACCTAACGGTGAAAAGCGTTCAGTGACTTGTTGAGACAAGAATAACTTAGTGCAACGTGTCTTTCACATAAGGTAGAACCAAAGATCGTATGCGGCGCTATACGATCTTGGGGTAAAACCATTTTGTGAATTAAATAGCGAGTTCACTATACTGTGTACGCGCAGGGGTGAAGTGTTTCTTCATTCGTTAAACAGTCGTCGTGTCAAACCTTTGCGACTGACCTCTCACAAAAGCAATGATCCTTTGTCATCGTGACCTTCCCGAAAACGACTGAGCGAATCATTTTTGTTCTGTTGATTTTGGTATGGTGTGTACATGTATTCTAGCTCTGGTTGTATGTACATGTGCATCTGGAATGTTCGTGAGCAGGCTTAATCACGACCCGGCAGTGTGTAGTTTTGATCTAGTTGTGAGTGCATGCATAGGTTCCTTTCAGTGTTGGAGACTAACTTTAGGCTGGTCTCCATCAATCATTTTGGACAAGTTCATGGCGAGAATGCTTCATGTCTATTAATCATTACCACTCTCATTTGTACGCATGACCCTCACGTCGATCAGCAGCGGCCACTGTCACTAGTGTCAGCAGAGATTGTCAAAAAGCTGACCTCTCGCTGGTCTTGATTCAAGTTACAGGGAATTTTGACAATCGACCGGTAAATTTTGTGGTAACATTTAACCTGGACTATTGACACTATTGGCTGCCAAATAATGCAACAGGTTAATGATGCACAGTCAGCCTGTACTCTTAAGAAATAGTCTGGCAATCACCCCGTGGTTGTGGTTATAGGAAGTTAAAGGAATCATTCTTTGTAAAAGAACGTTATTATCTTTTTAAGGAAATGCATTGGCGTATATATATCATTTAAAGTATTTTGAATACAAAATGCATTTTTTTATAGTGCGTTGCAGAAATGGCTGATTCGAAATCCAAACGTCTAGCGTTATGGTCCTCCCTACGTTGCCTATCTACTACCATGGTGATGAGCTTTGGTATCTATGGTAACGTGGAAGTCGTCAATGAACTGTACTCAGGTGCTGACGGCTTGGGACCTGAACGCAGGGTAAAGATTCCTCTGCCGTTTCCTGTGGAGGACGATATGTCCTTTGGTGAGGTCAAGGCCCTACTGGAGGCTGACTATCCAACCAGGGATCTGGTTTTCCTCAAGGATTATGCTGCCGCCATCTCTGGGAAGTATCGGATCAACTCCCCACTGGCTTCAGCCACGTCTTCCTCATACGTAAACCGGAGAAGACGGTGGGCTCTGGCCTGAAACTGGCGGAGCGAGCGGGTTGACAGTTGAGCAGTTTGCGTTCCAAGTACGCTTCATGAAGGGGCTTGGCTTCGGGAACCTAGTGGATTTGGCCAATCACCTGGAATCTTGGCTAGGCAAACCTCCTGTCATCCTTGACGCCGACGATCTCCAGCGTGACCCAGAAAAGATGCTGAGAGCATTCTGCCAGGCTTTAGATCTCCCTTTCGCGAGTCACTGCTCAAGTGGGATGCTATCAAGGATCCGGAGATCCCTGGCATACTTCCAAGTCGATTCGTACTATCCACAGGGCTAACGGAGCGTACGAGAGGGGCGCCCTGAAAAGTACGGGCTGGGTCCAATCCGAACCCAAGCCTGCTGATCTCAGTGGTTTCCCGAAGGTACTTCTCGACCTTGTTGAGGAGGTTCGGCCATTTTACGAAATCCTCCATGCTAGACGTCTGAAACCAGACAATTAGTATGCGTAATCCATTTAAATCTTATAGAAACATTAGAAAACGTGCCTATGCATTTAGAATTATAGCTATAGAGTAATTCACGTTTTCAATTTTCATACAAAAATTGTGTAGTTATTTTGTTTAACCAAATTTTAGTCAGAGGTTTTCCTCTTAGTTTTTTCAATGATATCAGTTCAGTGGTCGAGGCTTGTAGCTGACTGTATCTGATAAATGCTCAGACCACCTCCGGGCCATTGTTTGTACCCTTGCAAGATTCCTGGCCAAGGTTTCTGTTATTGACTGCCTTATTGTGGAAGAAATTAATGGAACCCCCTCCACAAAATAAAGTTATGTTGATTGGGGATCGAGCAGGGTGGACGGGACAGTAAGGACGGTGCACTAATCTAACACAAACATCAAGTGGAACTTTTTGATCTAGTTACGGCCAATCGCTGGATGACCAACCATGAAAATGTGGACATCCGAAAGACGTCATGATTGGTGGTTCCTCTTCCATCTGACTGCTACCCAACACACTCCATAGCAACCAGCATCCGCTTGATGGGCAACCAATCACGCAGTAGAGATTGCGGTGATAGTTTTTGCTCGTTCAGCTGTTAGTCCCAAAAATCCTTCTTACGCGTGTTGCCACGACGCTGACTGGACATGCCGAGAAATAACCGCTTATAAAAGTAATAAAAAATAAATTTGTTTCTGCCTGTAATTTGGGAATGTTTGTTTTTAAAGATGGCACACGGTTTGGGTACAGTGGGTGTGGTTAAAGATGGCACACGGTTTGGGTACAGTGGATGTGGTTTGACGAATCGAATTCAGTATTTCTCCCGTTCGGTTCCCCAGAAAAAGGGTACATTCATTCACTTTACGAGGGAGGCTGCCATCCAAACCCAAGAGTGAAATATAAAGCCAGGTAATAACCTGTAAAGAGTTGCCGTATGCTTCAGGAATTAGGTGGAATCATCGGTGATCTCGCGCGTGAGTGATGGAGGGTAACACACGCACAAGTCATTGCTACTCTTCATTCAACAGTCGTCGTGTCAAAGCTTTATCAGTGAACGACCTTTTTTCTCACAAAAGCGACTGCGTCGTCATTACGGACTCCACGAAAACCATTCCAAACGACGTGAGGCAATCATTTTTACCCAGTTGATTTGAGGCTGTTCTTTTAAATTGCACGGTTCAGCACAGAGTCTACGAGTGACGTTGTTAATCGATACTATACCGACGTACAGGGCTACGTCTTTCTGCCTCCATGTTTCAACCATTCAACTCGGCAGCCTGCAGTTTTGATGAGTGGTACTATTGCGCTGTAAGTTCGTCTCACGTGGAGTTTAGTTTTTAGGACGACCTCCATATACACGGTCTGAAATTAATTTGGGTAAGTTCTGCAGATAAATGTTTTAAGAAGAAACTCCTCTTTCATCAATACAGCTTCGAAAACCATCCTCAAAGAATGGCGAATCTTGCCATTAAACTGAGCTGGGTTTCCGGCAGCCACTCCGAGTAGTACTAGTAGCCTAGCACAAATCATGTTGGCTTATTGACAGTGAGAGTCAAGACAGTACGTTTGGAAAATCTGCTTTTTGAATTTCATATACTCCTGTTATTACGAATGAACTGGTCACACAGCTGATCAGTGGTCGTGTACATGTACATTGGTGGTGTGGTGCATGCACGTTCTTTCCGTACAAACCGGTCTACTTACACAATGCGGAATCCTTACTCCAGTACGTGGAAATAAGAATACCTGTGTGTTACATGTTGTAGCGTGGGCGGGCAACAGCAAAAGAGACAAGACTTTAAAACGAGACTTTGCCGGCCATTAACAATCAAGTTTTATTTAGAAAATCACAAATCAAAATTATTTACTGCCTTTCCTACGATTATTGGCTGGATTTAAGGCGGTTCATGACAAGTTGTGAAATGCAAACAGAACTTGGTGACCGGTAAAGAAATAAAACAAATTAACCAGGGGCAATTAAAACCAATCAACTTACATGAAAATCTCTCCAAACCCAGGCATGGCGAGAGCCTTGCCCTCCACTAGATGTTACCATACCGAACCCAACTGCTAGATTCCCCCCAAAATTCCAAGCACCTAGGTCTTAACTGGGCCAACACCCAGTGCAGGGAACCCAGACAAAGGAACTATGCAAATCAGCAAAGCAAGAAACCTAATGGCTGAGAGATACTGGGTTAAGGCGTTCCCACTAGAATTAGTAATAAAAGGATACATGTAACAAAGGGGTGGGATGACCGGATGGACTGGTCCATATCTTCCTCAGAGGGGGAAAGGTATGGGTAGACTATACCATTGACGTACGGGGCCCCGGTTTTACTACAATATTAACCCAACATATCAGGCATGATAGTCGATTCAAAAGCAGCCATTTGTAAATGTTTGCTAACGCTGAATGGTAAGGCTGTCCTATCGCTGATCTCAAGTCACGTCGCCAGGAGGTTCTTGACAATTGATGGGCCAATTTTGTGTTATTTAGCCAAGGTTCAGCGCATGTATAGCCATGGTATGCTTCGCCATCACCCTTCACGTAAGCGGCTATAATGCAACACATCTGTGGTTACGGTTGGCCCTATTCAATTTTGAACAGATCTAAATGAATCCAAGACCACGGGATTTAGGAAACAATCTGGCATTCACCCCTGGGTTATGTAGCACTACAGTTAATTAGGAAGCTGGGTGCGTGCTCTGCGGCGTTCACGTCGTCTGGTGTCTTTCATCTTTTAAAATCGGGTGCACAGCGAATGACAGAAATTTCACCAATGACATGTCTTTTCTTTCAATATAGTAGGCCCTTCTTAATTCTCATTTTTAAAGCACGTGTATAGTCTGCCATAAAGTGTTTCTGATAAAGAAACCCACAGTGTATTTGTTTGCTTTTTGATTACAGTGAGTTGAAGAAATGGCCGATTCGAAACCCAAACGTCTGGCTTTATGGTCCTCCCCACGTTGCTTATCTACTGCCATGGTGATGAGCTTTGGTAACTATGGTAACGTAGAAGTTTTCAATGAACTTTACTCGGGTGCTAACACCTTTGGCCCTGAACGCCAAATAGATATGCCTCCTCTGCCGTTTCCTGTGGAGGACGATATGTCCTTTGGTGAGGTCAAGGCCCTACTGGAGGCTGACTATCCAACCAGGGATCTGGTTTTCCTCAAGGATCATGCTATTGCCGTCTCAGGAAAGTACGATCAACTCCCCGAGGGCTTCAGCCACGCCTTCCTCATACGTAACCCGGAAAAGACGGTAAGTTCTGGCATAAAACTCACGGAGAAAGTGGGCTTCACAGCGGAGCAGTACGCGCAGATGGCTCGCCTAACTGGTATGAAGGGATTCGGTTTCGGGAACCTAGTGGATTTGGTCGATCATCTGGAATCTTGGCTAGGCAAACCTCCTGTCATCCTTGACGCCGACGATCTCCAGCGTGACCCAGAAAAGATGCTGAGAGCATTCTGCCAGGCTTTAGATCTCCCCTTTCGCGAGTCACTGCTCAAGTGGGATGCTATCAAGGATACGGAGATCCCGTGGCATACTTCCAAGTCGATGCTTGCTATCCACAGGGGTAATGGGGCTTACGAGAACGCCTTAAAGAGTACAGGCTGGGTCCAATCCGAACCCAAGCCTGCCGATATCAGTGGTTTCCCGAAGGTACTTCTGGACATCATTGAGGAGGCACGGCCATTTTACGAAATCCTCCATGCTAGGCGTCTGAAACCAGACAATTAGTATACGTAATTAAAATCTTATCTTATCCACTTAAATCTTAGAGAATCATCAGGCTGCTTGACATTCATTGAGAATTTCAGCTGCTATCACAGGCATTTACTTTAATAAAACAAAAATAGTCTTTTTTTGTATACATGGCAGAATCCGTTCCAGAGGTTTTCCTCTTTTTTTCAAGGGCCAGACCAGTTCAAGGGCATTAGACGCCTGCACCAAAATCGCTGGTGAAGGTTTCGGTTTATTGACTACCTCGTTGAGGGCGCAAGTAATAAAACCTCAAAACAATTAAAGTACAAATGCATCGATCGGGCAGGGTGGGCGGTAATAAGAATAGTGCCCATTGTCAAATAAGACAAGCATCGAGTGGAATATTATTGATCTAGTCAGCGAATCGCTGGAAAACAAAGCATGAAATTGTAAACATCCGAAACGCGACGTGATTGGTGGTTTTCGCTCGGCCACTGCCACTCAATAGCTCCATAGTAACCAGCTAAACGATGATGGTACATGTATTGTGATAGACCTTAAATTAATCACTGCAGCAGAAATTGCGGACACGCGTATTACAGTTTTCGCTTCTTCAACTTTCAGTGTAAAAATCCGTCGTGTGGTCGCCTTTTTTCAGCGCGAAAATGCGGCTCGTGTTAGCTTTGTTCGTGGTTGCAAACGTTGGATGTGGTCTGGTCGTTGCCTCTATATGCCCTCCAAGATGGCAGCGCTATGGTACGTCTTGCTATTTCATGATGATTGAACGAATGAATTGGCGTGGCGCTGACCAGACATGCCGAGAGATGACCGCCGCTTTGGCCGTTCCTAACTCAGCCGGGGAGCAGGAGTACCTATGGGATCTTTTTCTCACTACCTTCGATCAGAGTCCGGAAGTAAGTCTGTGGATCGGATGCAATGACATCAAAGAGGAAGGAAAATGGGACCACTGTCCGTCGAAAGGAGGAAACCACAGTTTGTACGAGAACTGGAAAGCAGGCCAGCCGAACGGTGTGGGCAATGCGGACTGTGGAGTGATTGGGGTTCGATTGAATGGACAGTGGGATGACCAGAGCTGTGGATTGGCCAGGCACGTGGTGTGTGAGCTCCCCATCAAGGTCAGCGACAGTCCTCATGCGAAGTTCTGCCCGATGACCGAAGCAGACGGTAGTCTGTCTCGGAAGTGCTTACTGCGCCACATTATGACAGACATGCCGGTCAGTGGTATCGTGGATTGCGGCAAGGCCTGCCTAGCTGAGCCTCGATGTCGCTCCTTCAATATCCTGAAGCGAGGCAGTGATGGTGGAGAATGCCAACTCAACAATGCTACACGTCTTGAAGCAAGAGAAGAGAATTTGGTTGAAATTCAGGACTGCCTCTTTTTCGACCTATAGGTGACGAGTAGGTGTACTCTTACTAGTCTGTTTTGACTGGATGTCAAGAAAATTAGAATAATGTATCCATTCTTCAAGATTGTATGAGAAATATGGTCACAGAAACGACGTTCTTCAAATCTTTAATGTGGAAAAGACTATACTTTCTGTATGATAAGAACTTTCAGATTATAGTTGAGTGAATAGTGAAGACAGTGCACGACCAGGGCACCATTTTCAGCCTTTTTATTATCAAAATAAGTGTTGTCGTCATTTTTAAAACTAAAATAGGCATATAAAAAATCAATGAGTCTTATTAGTTAACCTTTAGAGACATACATCTTTGAGCGCTTTATCTTAGATTATGGAACACGACTTGTAAATAATTTCAATTAAATCTTGGAATAAAACGAAGATTTGTGTAGTCGAGGAATTAAAAAATCAAGACCTAGTTTCGTTTAAATTATACAAAATTAATTTCTTTTTTTTTAATAGAATTCCCCCTTGTTGTAAGGTGAGAGAACATTTTGTTGCATTGTGACAAAATAATACACGTGACAATGAACAGATCGCAGACAATCCCGCGCCGTCACGTGACTCGCGCGCGACAACGCGCACCGTGCTTCAAAAACAAAACAAAAGCTATGACAAACATGAACGTATAAGAGTACCGAATTGAATACGTCACGCGCACAATTAGAGTGTAAAAGGCAGCGCGTGAACCAACACGCGCGCGTACTCCATTCGTTTGAACCGCACTTTCTGGTTCACAGTGACGTCACACTTCGGTAGTCTACACAAAACACACGTCTGCCTGCAACGCTGAACAAACCGATCCAAGGCAAACAAAACAACAAAATGGTTTTGCAGACGGGAGCAAAAATCTCCTTCACAGTCATCATCTTCGTCTTTCAAGGTAATTCTGCATGTTTACTTGTAAAATTTCGGTTCCTTTTTTTATTCATCAGAGTTGAGTGAAATTTCAAATAATTTGTCTGACATTGGAAAGACCTGGAATCTAGGATTTGAAACACACTGCAGAGTTGCGCCAACACTCCATCACAAAACTGACGTGCGCGTTTGGCTTCAAAATTCTCAGCACTTGACGAAATCAAAGTTCCTCTCCATACGTTTCACATAAAGCTGACGCATTTCTATCCGAGTGGACGCTGAGGGCGCCCTGCGATGATCATTTTTTCCACCAGTCAACAAATATCCACGGCGCAGGCGATGACGACAATTCGTGCACAGTATTTCTAGAGGAGAAATACTATGAAGGTAATATATACTTTTAAATTAAGTATACTTGTAACTATCAGATACTTTATTTAAGGTATACTATCTCCAAGTCTGAGTAATGGATGTTAAAGTTTAAAAAAAGGTACTGCTATAGAAAAATCGCAGCAACCATCACGTTCTTGATAATGATTATACTTATACAAATCTTTCAAAACTTATATTCCGCTTTTCGTATATCAGAAAATTTATGTGGATAATAATAGAATCGGCCCCAAATCAAAGAAATATGAAACACGGTGAAGTTAATATTAGCCAATGCATATCTCACCATCTAGTGGTATAACTGCTACTTCAAGAACTCTATTTTGAAACATCTCGAGACCTCTATAGTCTATTTTATAATTTTCTGAGGGCGAGAACTATTATGTCATTTCGACAGCGCGGTGATTAATACTTCAGCATGCATTTACATATCAGCAAGTGGACCTCATCACGACATGCACCTGTGTTCATTCTGCTCAGTGACGCTCTCCCTGTTACCACTACAACTGACATTATGATGTTTAATTTCCTGTCAAGCCAAATCGTCCTTCGATCTCACGGGGCGGGCTAAGTAGCTCTCTTTCCTTTGACATCAAAATCACTGCATTTCCACTATACAAAAAAAGTGCGAAATTGAAGTTGCATTTTAATGTAGGGTTGTCTGCTCTCTAGGTATATAGGTGCTCAGGGTACCAGGGAAATGCCAAGGTATGGATTGTTTTACTGTTTGGTTTATTTGTTCTTAGTTCGACTGGTTTTTTTTAATGATTACACCCGCTTTATCCCTCAGACAAGAGCTCCAAGCTGCCACTAGCGGTGTTTCTTACGTGTCTAGCAATTGCGGCTCTGTACACATTCCGTGTACTCTCCGCGAGGGACTGTCCCAGAGTCAGTCAGTCTGCCCTGAAGAAAGACACACAACTCGGTCTGATGAAGCGCCTGAGAGTTCACTGGTGGGACGAGCAGCCGGGATTGCCGCTTCTGAACTGGGAAAGATGTCCTAGCTGTCACAGACTTGAACGACTGCAGCTGACACAGTGACAAACTAATCACACATTAAGTCTTGCTTTTTTCACCCCAAAGTCTGATCATCTGTGCCCTGCATTGCTAGTTGTACAATTAATTTCATGCTGCCACTTTATCTGTTTTCTCGATTAATCAGAGAACAGAAATCGTGAAGCAAAGTCAGAACCGATTTTATATTTGTAACCCATCGGCCCATTCTTGTCACCTATACTGTGCTTCCTAGAATACATGTCAGTTATTTCCTAAATGTCTAACTAACACTTTCCAATCATTAATAACGTCGGGCCTAAACATTTCCTTCTCTGAAACAAAAAAGGTTGAAACAATTCCAAGAATTCTCACAATCTACCCAACCTGTGTATGTACCTCGTCCCGTAATCTTTTCCTCTTTCCTTTTTAGCTCAAAACACTGCTCAGCGCGACAGAGCGATTTATCAGAAGTCTGTGCTATTCAAGGGTAATGTTTATCATTTATGCCCGTCTGTTTTGAGCTAGACGCATTAAAAACCTGTGCATCATATCAGATTGAAATTACGACTCTGTAATTATGCCCCATGAGATCCAATTAAACACAGGGCACCAAAGCAATGCACAGTTTCACAAAGCCTTTACTATACCAACGCATAGAGGTGGAAAGAAGGATAAAATAATTTGGTAACGATCGACTGCCTGCAATTCTCTCTCAGCAGATTTTCCGCCATTTGTGTACTTCATCAGGTTTTGGCTTTGCTTTTTGTCTTGTTCTCTCTAAATTTCAGAGGGTGGAAAGGCACTTTATTCCGAGTGCAAAATGACTCAATCCGACTGGAAACAGCATTAGATGAATCCGAGTGAAACATCTTCACTCCAATTTTCACTTTGAAACGTCTATAGTTCCTAGTTTAACTACAGGGCTCCCCTTATATATCTAATACAAAGATATACGATACATCATTCACAGATCACTTCGTTTCCGCTTGTCCGTAAAAAATGCGACATCAATAAAAAATCTCCGACCTGACCCCTGAAAAATTCTAGCTGGACCCGCCCCTGATACATACAGTATTCGTTGAATTTAGGATCACAGTTACAGCACAGACTTACCAAGTCCAACTCTAGTGGAACCAGCGGCTATTTTGGAGTCCACATGTTAATTATACTTCGTAACTATGTCACAGGCTCCACCGGTCACCTCCTAACTTGACTTTTTCGGTTCTTATCACTAACCCCAAGGTGTCTTCAAAGATTCTTCTAACATTGAAAGTATCCAGGGCCGTAAAAATGGCTGAGTTTCAAGGGCAATACCGTTGTGAATGGTTTCAAGCGCAGATGAAGTCACTGATCGCCTGAATAAAGCCGGCTTACTGAAAAAAATTGATATCAACTCCCATTATTCTCAGAAGGTGAATATGCTTGGACATTGCCACGTCCGCTACTCAAGGACACGTGTCTAATCGGTGCTCGCACCAGAGTTCGCTGTAATTATTTCAAGCGTTGAATACATCGAATATTTTGATCCACCAGCAATTGGCAGAGGCTTTTACGAGTACACGCCACATCTGAACAAATGCCAATTGAAGCAGGGAAACCACTTGCAGACGGATGTGATACCTTCCTGTTATTGCATTTTGAAAAGCATTATTTGATTTGCCAGAGGAAAGTAAAGAGGAATGCAACGAATTTGCTACTTGTCTACCTGAAAGAACGATGCATCATTGATGACCTTTGCCTGTCAGAACGAAAGAGTAATCGGTCCGCTGAGAGATCATTAAGTATCGCATGCGCAAACAATTGAAATGTGACGTTTGCAGAATCACGTGACAGCAGTGTGCTGTGATTTATTGAAACGATCAAGATATTTCCGTAACCAAAGAAATCTTGAGCACAGATCTTTATCATCGGATGTTTAGTACGCCAACATTGAGTAGGTTCACCAAACTAGACTTCAGTGGTGTAAGACGAATGACCACGGTGTCAGATTAGCAGCACAACGAAGACCCCTAGAAGCCAACACAAACAAAACATGACGTGATCAAGGAATAAGTGTACATCTTTCACACGATCAGATTCACTTGTCTGACGTGGCGTGAAACTAACACTCATGCAGAACGGTCCAGTGATTTTGTAATTTGGCTCGAGATGCGTTCAAGAGACGCAGAAATCATCTCAATATGTGCCTTTTTTGCCTCGATCGTGGATTTTAATACGTACGTTTTCCACACTGTTTGACGGGATGACACGATGTTAAACCCTCTCTGGCTAGGGTAACATCTTATATTGACTGGAACGTATGACATCTGTGCGGCTGCACAGATATTAAACATAAACCCAGTACTCCAAGGACAACAAAAGTCTTTTCGAGAAGATTACAAAATTCCCGAGTCGAAGCAAGATTTTACATACTCCGTTGTGGTGATAATTGGTTAAAACCCCCAACGCGACATTAGACTGACCGAATGGAGGATGCTATAGAGGTGTGTATTGCTATTAGATTGGAGTTTAATTTACTTTGCCTTTGCTGTTGAGGATATCGGAAATTGACTTTGTGTTTTTATTCACTTCATTATCAATCGAGGTCGAAAACTATAACTATGACATAGAATGTGAGAAGGTCAAGTGACCCATCTGTGCAGACACGGCAGACAGATTGTACACACGTATCACGCAGCGTCTCAATCGCTCAGGTAGAAGCGCTTTTGGCAACATCGACAGACGACGTCGAGATGATTGGGTATTCATATCAACGCTGATATCGATTCCAATGAAGGTCAGATCAAACCGAAAAGAGGCGACCATCGCCAAGCTTTCACCGTGACATGAAGGGCAGACATTCGCCACTCAGGTTGAGCATAATATAATGATCTCCGAACTGCTAATGGAAACATGAAGATATGCAATTAACGCTCGGCTAACTTTGCTGCATTTAAGCATGGACAGTCCTGAGATATCGACGATACTGTCGACGATTTCAAGAGATGGAAACATGATGATGGATGAGGTGAAGAGAACCCCACCGAGCAAACATCCGAGAGGAAGGCGGGACTTCGAGCGTAAAAACAGCGTGGCACCTCTGGGTATCGCGCAGGAGAAAGGGCTTGCAAAAACCATCTGCATCACAGACTTGTCTTCGGACAGGGGGAAACAGCTACAAATCGCGCGTCTCAGTGTGGTATGCGCCTTGTCTTGTCTTGCTCTGATACTCTCATCACTTGTGGATGTTCAACACTTTACCGACCTGGAGTTTGGGCAGCGTACGACACACGCTGTTCTGACCAACGCCACTGACGAAGAAACGTTAAGCCACGTCTTGCAGATGGAAGGAGGCCTGGTGGGTTTCTGGAGCTCCTGGCGCCAAAATTGCGCCAATGTCTCAAAGAATGCTGCCGAGATGTCAAGATTTGTCGACGATATTGTCTACTCCAGCTTCAACAGCACGGACCAGGCTTTGCGTCAGTGCCTTTCGCGTGATGGTGTTCTAGGTAACTCACTTCAGCAGCTGAACTGGACTAAGGATGAGTTTCTACAGACTTTAAAGGACCACAGAGCACATGGTGAGACACAGAAAAATAACAGTAAATCCGTTTGCCTTTTCTACAGCAATATCGTTGGTGTAATAAATATAGAACTGACAACACAAATCGCTCAAAACAATTTAGTACAGGCAGACTTGTTGATCAGCCATGATTCGTTGACACAAGCTAAAGAATTCTTGAGTAATGAGAGGTGTTTTGGAGCCATATTTTTTGCACATTCGGACATTTTTGTACCAGAATTTATAGCATATCGTGCAGTGAGTGACGGTTTCCTAATTCATGTGCAAAATATTAACAGTAATATTTCTTTGAACGTCGCTGAAAAATGGTCAGTGATGAGGCACAAAGTCGAGAATGACAAAAGTGCATGCAATTGGACAGAAGCAACACAGTGGCTTCAAACCACAGCTGATAGTCTCCAAACACTGCTGAAGATTCAACGTGACCTTCGAGAGGAAATCATTCTGCACATCACCGAGAAAATGGAGTCAACAGCCCGTCTACTCGCCCTGGAATTCGTGGTGACGATCCTCGTGATAGTCTCCTTTCCTGTGTTGTTACACTCGACCTGCAGCATGGCTGGTTGGATTCACAACTATGCCAGCCAATTGAGGGAAAAGACCTTGGAACTGAGGCATGAGAAGTTGGTAGTTGAGGGGCTACTCTACCAGATGTTGCCGCCCTCCGTTGCCAACCAGCTGAGAGAGAAACGGCAGGTACACGCCGAGTCTTTCGATAGTGTCACCATCTTTTTCTCGGATATCGTAGGGTTCACCTCTATCTCGGCTCAGATAACGCCTATGCAGGTGAGTTGATGGTGAAAACCCGCCCCTTCAATGGTCAAAAGCAACTACTTGAGGTTTCGGAGCCCCCAGACCCATGCTTATCTTGAATATGAATGGATCAGTTCGCTTCGGAAACCAGTTAAATGCGTACTTCTCGATGAACTTCACTAAAAAACAATCTATATCAAATCCCGAGGTGCAACTTCTTTTAGGAACTTTCTTGTCATTTCCATTAATCAACAATCTCATGACTGACATGTTTTAATTTAGGTTTGGATACGTTATGTCCAACGTAGAAGAATGACAAGGAATTAAAAAGACCTGGAAAAGCTCGAATGGCCCATGCGCCAATATTCCCAGCTGTTGTGTTGGAGCCGTAGTCTGCAAAAGTGAACCACTTATTTTACACTGAATCCATACTCACATACTGTGATTTCTAGAATAAATATATAATTGATACGAAGAGACAGTCAGAAAAGATAAACGCAAGATTCCATCTTTTGGTAATACAAATGTGCTCCGTAATGTCTTTGAATATAAATTCGAAGACATTTCAAAACGACAACGCAAAATTTCTTCGGAAAGCCCTACGGAAGACACGGTATGGTACAGTATAGAGATCTGATGGGCTCTTGGGATGGTTGTTGATGTATACGCGGCTTGCCGATCAGGGGATGAGCTGGTCAAGGTTTACTCAATTACCGAGCACAAGAACCCCAGCTGGTTCGTCCTCCTGGAGATCGATAACGAAGAGACAAAGACGTTGGCACAACATGGCATTGCACCAAGGAAAATTAGATTTGTTTTGAATTTGATAGTTGCGATATCACAACATTTAAAAGCGACGGTTTCTTTGAAACGACGCACAGGTGATCAAGAGCCTCCCATTACAAGTATCCTAACAGCAAAATCAATCAGGAGTAGCAAAAACAGCAGGCTCCAACTTCCACAAGGTTATTTTCCCTATCTCTGAACATTTACTTGCAAATCTCCCTCATCAAAATGCCCGCTCTCTTGATTAGTTTCGAAGATTCGATACGATAGGCACCAAGCACGATCTAAGCAAAGGCTGATTATATTGTTGACACATGGTTTACGCATAGTATATTCATGTGTTGCAAAGGTCATTTTGTGTTGTGGAATATCCAACTACATGTTTAAAACTGCAGAAATACACGTATAACTAAACGGTGTTTTTGAGATGATCAAAAATTTTAACGTCACTCTTGGACATCTTTGGAAAGAAAAGATGAAAATATGACGGACAAGATGACTCAGTTTTTTTCATTTAATCGGTATACTTTGGTGGCTTTGGTAGCCATATTCGTTTTGTTGGCAATTGCGTTAGATTGATGACCAAACTCCCGGGAATGAAATTCATGACAACCGAGTAGCAATAGTTCAAAGGAAAACACAGCTGGGAAAGTGTAAATCTATTAAGGCGAATCACAGTTGCATTGAGGGAAAGGATGTGATTGATGTAAACGGGAAAAGTAATTTTTGGGGGAAGCTAACGAGTCAGTAAATTTGAGAAATGGGGGGGGGGGGCTTTGTCTAAACACCCAAATGGAGTTTGCAAAATCAAACGGGAAAATGTGATCATCCTAATGGATCGGGACAGAAGCGTGCCGTCTCGTTATGGATGCCACTGCGACAAAGTAACGGGGGAAAATCTTGGAAACACAAATGTGATCAGAGTAAAATGGATCTATATAAAATTATTTCAACGGGAGGACTGCAAGACGGCGTCACATTCACTTGCAGACTAATTTCTCCTTTGAACTAAGTTCACAAATGGACGGGAGTATGAATGTTGGACAAACATGTATTATAAGCCTGCCCGTCAGCACGACGATTTGAAATGCCATTAACTAGACTGCAGTTCTGCCTCAGAGTATTTTGTAACTTAAAACAATTTAGTCAAGAGTGAAACTTCAATTCATCAATGGATGGGCTGCATACATAAAAGAAAGTGCTACTCCGGCCTACGTCATAATGTCCCATTTCTTTAATTACCGAGAGTGCTTTTTTATTTACAAACTCCAACCTAGTATTTGTAAGCTATGCCCAACTCATTCAGAATGTACATTGGGTTCATACTAACTGGTCAACAAATATTTAATTTTCTAGAATAAAAAAAGAAAACTTCAGTCATGACATTCGAGTGTCTCTCACTCTTATTTTGAAAATAGTTTGCATTAAAGCTTCCTTTCGAAGTCGTGTTACTAAGTTATGCCACGTTAATATTTTGGCGCCTTTATTTCACCGTCTGCTCATAGGTTGTTGACATGCTGAATCGTCTGTACATGTGCTTTGACGCCAGAATCGATATCTACGACGTGTACAAAGTCGAGACGATTGGCGATGCGTACATGGTGGTTAGCGGTTGTCCTCAGCGTAACGGAGAGCGACACGTTGGCGAGATCGCAACGATGGCTCTGGACTTGCGCAGTGCAATCAGACAGGTGCAAATTCCTCACGATCCCGAGCGGAAACTAAAGTTACGCATTGGAATCCATACAGGTATATTCCTTACATATCAAATCGTAAGTTAAACGCAAGAGAGTGTGTTGTTAATATCGTGTAACGGGGTACCTGTCGAGAGCTTCAGAAAAGATACTACAGTAGCCTAGTGTAAATTTAACACGGGTACTAGTGCTTGTCAGAATCTTTTGCATTCTTGCTTCATTGGGACGAGTAGCTCAGTGCTGACAACACCGTAGGATGGCCAAGGTCGAAGTCGTTTCTTATTTTTACGAGCTTCATCCACGCCATATGCACACGAACTATTGCGTGGGTGCGGCGTGTCAGTCCAAAGGGACGTCGTAACTTGATAATGACAGGGCACCTTTCTCATTATAAAGCCTTACACGGACGCAAATGACATGTCGCTTGCAGTCACCATTATATCAAATGAAGTTGTTTTTATTTGATGCTTTTATATCTTATGAAAAGACCTAATCCGAGTACCTCACTCCCTCGAATACCCGTGGAGGCTTCAACTTCATGAACAGGTGGTTGCATATTTTACAAATTTAGCTAACGACATTGGCCTACGAGTGAGGAGTTAAATCAACAGACCCTTTCGAGGAATTCTTCAAACTTCAACTTTTAAACTTAAACTTGAACCCATACATTCAACTCTGCCCACTGAAATCGAATCAAAGTGACAGAAAGGTAACGAACCGTCCTTTAACACAGGGTCGATGTCCCATAGCGGTAAATAACCACAGTGATTCTACAGCCACGTTGGGTCTGGTCGTATTATTTGCCCATTCGCTGATAAAGCACGTACTTTCCTTCGCTTTTTTTCATACATGGGCTAATTCCCAACGATTACCAGGTTGAGACGTCTTTCATCAATATCAAAAGGGCGTCACGAAAATATAAATTACTTGTGCGTGTTGACAGAAAGTAACAGATACACAGTGGAAACATATTAAACTGAATATATAATCCCTGGACTGCCCCCGACATTCCTTTTTAGACTACAGCAATGTTAAAATGACGTGATGACACAATAGTTTCTGTAAGATGCTTCGCTGAAAAACAGAGATCTTTGTTAAAGACACGTTTGGTGACTGTTCAGTGGAGCACTGTGTATTTATACCGCAAGTAAGCTATGTAAATAAAATTCACACGAATTAACATAAATTTACATACTTACTGGAGTGCATAAACTCACTTTTATAAAGCTGGTTTTGTCATTTTCTTGGGTTTGACGATCCTGATGACTGTTTGATGATTTTATGGGTACGGTGTTTTTTAAGCCATAAGATAGGAATTACAAAAAGAAAATCGGAAAATAACTTTTAACTGTCATGCAAAAAAATATGCTGGTTGAGCTCAATATTGAGCTCTGCTTTTCGCTAAAACCGTTTTAAAATGTATTTCGAGTGTACCGTCAGGATACTACAATTGAACTGTGTCAAAGATGGAATCCGCAGTCTTAAGGAACATGATTGAAGCTGTTTTACACTAGCCACCAAAAAGACACAAGCCACCAAAGAGGCATTAGTTGGCCCAACAATATTGCACACCCTCAGTAGCTCCATCCATGTGAAATAATTCCAATTTCGCATCATCGCAAGGTCGATGGAGATGGCACTCGCTCCCATCGACCGCTGCAATAAATACCCTTTTATCAAGGTTGATGGAATCGCCGTATGTCCCGGAGCTAGTGTCAGAAATACGAATTCCCTAATAGAATTTCGCGCGAACTGGTTCAAAATGTAGAGCGTGGCTCTAGTGAGATTTCAGAAGTTTACACGGTAATCTGTTCATTATATTTCCCGTAAATGTTCCTATCCTGTTAGCTAAAAGCTTTGTTTTTAAGAGGCTGAAAGCATTATGGCTAACCCACATGTCAGCATTTTTGAATTAATATCTCCTCGTAATCAGGCCATTGTGTAAGGCCAAGTCTGAGACGGGTTTCCAGAGCTATACGACCATGGCAAGTGTTCACGTATTCGGAGCCTTTGACCCTTGACCGAGACCTAGCCTATAGACACAAGATTCAGACGCGATCTAATTACCGTCTCTGCTGTACGAATAGGCAAATCCCCGAATTTGTGGGCCAATTTCACATGAAAATTCACAATTTTTTGTCTTTTCCCTAAAAACAAAGGTATCCAAGCAAGCGACATACTTAAGTTGTCTAGAAAACTGTAATTTATATACCAAAGTGAACAAAACACTGTCACTTCCACGTCAATTTGTGTAATTTTGTACGTCTGATGTTGTAATCGAATTTCAAGCAAAGTGCCGAATGGTGATGATCTTAACCTTAAAAGCGTGTTTCCTAATCAGATTACAAATCTCTGCCGCGACGGTTTCCCTTGTATTTTTCCAAGGCTGTATTGACATAACAATTGGCATACAGAATTTTACGAGCATACAAGTGCTGCCCGTTTAAATTTCACGTTGTGTTCGTTCCCAGTATCCCTCTATTCACACAACGGTGAGCGCGCGTCCACGCGTGCGCCATGTTGCCATGACTATTTGTAACGTAACTGTATCACGTATTCGAGCCTCGCTTTCAAAAACCGTTTGCTTTTGAGCCAAAACGTGAAACAGGTTTTCATCTAATATTTAGAAATACTCATCACAGCACGAGACACTCGTATCGGTTTAACAGTTGTCGGTTTAGACTTCGTATCTGTTGTAACACTGATAGCAATTGTGAAGAATTGTAGGCCCAGGCAATGTTGGGGCTATAGTTCCAGAATATTAACCATGTTCTTGTGCTTTGACAGGGCCGTGCGTGGCCGGGGTTGTCGGGTCTAAGATGCCGCGTTATTGCCTGTTTGGGGATACCGTCAACACTGCATCTAGGATGGAATCAAACAGTCTACGTGAGTTTTTCGCAGGTCCCCCCCCCCAAAAAAAAAACCTGGGCTCTGTTTCCGTCTTTGGCGTCATCGGAAACTCTGGCCTGAAGGCGACACAATAGAAAACACTAAATAAACCATAGTCGGACCAGTTGGGACCAGAGGACGCTGAGTGAAAATTACTTTAATGCCAGATTAATGAAACCTTCAGAAAGGAAATCTCTCGAGTGGAGAATTAGGTAGAAATCTAATCTATTCGAGTGAGCGAGTTTCATCCTAAAATATTCTTGTGCCTGGTATCCATCACTGGAGTGAAAATTTACTCTTCTGACAGAAGAAAGAATTGGAAATGGTTGCTCCAAACGACATTTCGAGAAGATAAAAACATCAATGAAATATGCAAAATCTGCACCACTTCAAATGATTTAACCAATGGACAGGATGTGTTATTTTCGAGTGAAAATTCAATCTAACAACCTGTATCGATAGAATGGATCGAATTTACTCTCAGGCCATTTCTCATCCAAGGTCTTTGGAGTGATTTTTAACTCTGATGATTTGGTCCCTGGTGTCAATGGGAAGAAGTGAAATTTCACCCTTCGTCAAGTAGGAGACGGGCGCGAATTCAAAAACAGCACCGATTTTACAGTGAAGAGAGAAAGTGGTTATCACTTTAGAAAATGAAATGATACAGGCTACATCTAGATGTGGCGTTACGACAGTGTACAGATGGTAGTGATTACGCAAGGGGTAACGTCGCGTAAACTGCCCACGAGCTTGACAGCGTCTGCCACAACCTGTTCAGTACATGTATGCCATTTTATTATTGCAAACATTCCGGCTAATTGTGAGTGGGAGTAATAGGCTCCAAATAAGTAATTAATATGTACTTTTTGTTAACAATGTTTTCTCAACTTTTATTCAGCTAATAAGATCCACGCTAGTGACGTCACATATGCAGCTCTCTCGAAAGATGTTTCCTACGAGATGGAGTGCAGAGGAGAAATTAATATCAAGGTAAAAAACAGAAATGGAAGCCAAAACATTCAACTACAGATTTTTTTTAAAAAACCGATATGAGTTCTAATTTTTGTCTGTGCCAACTTCTCACTTTGCTCTTCAGTGACTCCCAGTCACTTTTTCCTCTAAAGAAAACTGTGAACCAAATCAGTAAAGAACCTAATTTTAGCTCTTGAAATCATAATCGTTTGTTCCAAAAGACCGATTTCACAAAGAAAACCCTTCTTTTCAAATTTACAGTTGCTACTTTTATGTACACAGGGAAAAGGAAAGATGAACACGTATTGGCTCGTCAGCCGTAAGGGCTATGGTGAAGCCAACGACAGCATGGTCTGTAAAATTGACTTTGCCAAAATGCGCGCCAAGAGAAAGGCTGAGAAAGAGGCGAAGAAAACAGAGGAGGCTAAACGGCTCGAAGGGAAGGCTAGCAAAGAAGCTGAAGAGGCTTCAAATGGACACGGAGATGCCAAAGAAGGAACTGAACAGGCTACAAATGCGACTGACGAAAAGGCTAGTAATCACGAAATGGAGACTGCGATCAAATCGAAAGACGGAACGAATGGGGCCACGGCTTTTTGAGAATGGGGACATAAGGAAGGAGGTGACATGAGCAGAGACCACAGATCACGAGAAAGAGACTACTAAACAGACCGAGCAAGTTAAGCAGAAATGTATAGGGCCTGACATAGATAATCTGCTAATGAAGAGCTGTATGCATTAATACAAAAATTGGTATTGATTTATGCCCGAATAATAGACGGAATTAAACTAAACCAAATTTCTTGAAAAAAACGTTAACACTTGCGTGGTTTTGGGGCAAGATTTATTCATCAAAGTTTAATTAAAATGCACGTTTCACTTACAATGACCTTGCACTGCCTCCTTGTTTACTTCAGTATATTTACGATCGACCTTGGACATGCTCATTTTCATTTATAGTGTGATTTTTCCTGACCGTCGAAAATGCACATTAGGATAGGTTGTAAGTCCTTTTTTATGCAAATTATCAGTAACTACCACTCTGCCTGTTGTCATGTTTCCTGAAAAACAGAGAGCAATATGATTAAGCTCTTAATCTAGTTGCTTTTCACCGTAATAAATCCGCAATGAGTAAATAGGCCAGTCTATGGCCTCTGTGTCTTATTTCAATAGACTTCCATGGAGACTTATGCTATTTCCTGAGTACTGCTTTTTCTTCAAGGTTAAAGACGAGACACAATAAGCATTGTCGTTGTAACTGGTTACACTTACCACGAGCGAAAGGAATCTACAAAATCACGGCAAGATGCAACTTTTTCTGACTTTTCTAAGCGGAAAAATAGAACAAACTCAAATGTGACATTTCCGGGTTTCCATCGTATCCTACACAGTTATGCTTACCGTATTTATACATAGTCGGTTTGTGCTGATAGCCGCGGAAGCAATACCGTTGTGCACGGCAACCATATTTCGGTTACTGCTTTTGTTACGGAGGGATAGGCCTAGCACAAAAAGTCTACTCGTTTTATCCGTGTGAAACAAAAGTTCTTATCCGGAAAATGTCTAACATGCACAACTTTCATACGTGTTTAGTGACAATAGCTTTTCCACGATCATAGGACCGAGTTACATGTATATACATCATGCCTAAAACCCAGCACTCTACAAAGTGATGTGGAATCCAACACCTCACATGTTAAATCCAGCGTTTTAAATTTACATCCAGCAGTTAACCTGTTAATTTAACGTTTTAAATGCCAATTTAATAATTTAAAAAAAAATCTTGAACGAACACTTCAATCGTTGAAATTAACTCTTCAACTATTGGTTTCAATACTTCCAGTGCTGGATTTTATATCTAAAATGCTGGATTAAAACACTTTCAGAGATCTATCACTGACCGCACTTAACATTAAGTGTTGCATTCAGCACTTCAGCTTTTATCGCGAAGGTTTGTACATCGACTTCTCATCGTGTAGAGTCGTAGGCCAGTAAATAAATTGCCAGAGAAGATCACGATGTCCTCGTCTAAAAAGTCCCCTCAACAGCTCTCGATGGCGTTCGAGGCACGCATCAGATCAAACATCTTCCCTCTACTTTTTGCAGGAGGGGTAGCTAATGACGGTTAGAATCCAGCAAAGATGATGCCACATAAACTACCCAATAAATCATTCACTAGTTTGAAAACAAAAACCCTGATCTTTGTCTAGAGGTTGCAGTTTCATGTAGATTTTTCCAAAATAGTGACCTGACATAGTAATTTTAAGCTTCAACAACTTTCAAGTGCGTGGGCCACAAATCGCACCTATATGAGACAAGTTGAGAGCGTGTGATTCAACAGACATGTGATTCTATTACCCTTCAAGACTGATGACCGCGTAAGGTTGTGCGCCATGTGGTGGAGTGGACTGATGTACCGATCGGTTCGGTCTGGCGTATAACGGGGCGGCTGGGTGTCGTTCTGTCTCCGGACCACCTGTGCTGACTGCGTAGGGTGCAGTTTGGAGAGCCGTTCCCTCGGAAACTATTTGATAGGGGAGTTCATCTGACGACAGGACATGCGGTCCAACCAGCTCGTGGCCTGGGATGGTGGCGTATTTCTGCATCTCTTTATCGCTGTCTGAGTGACCAGCAGCACCGGAAGCGTGGACAGGTGCATTAGTCCCACTGGTTTCCCGGTCGGTTTGCTCTGTCGTTTCCAAGGCATGAGAAGACCGTTTGTAGACAATCACAAGAGTGACAACTGATGCTGTAACCATGGCAACAGCAACGATCACAACGGCCAGATAACCCACAAAGAAACCGTCCCCTTTGACGTCAAGGTCATCGGTCTCATCGGCGTTGCAGCGGGCTGGATCGGTGACGACACTAGTGTTGCGACACGTAAAGACGACGAACAGATCGCTGGTGACATTCTGCCCAATGTCATTGGCCGCAAAGCACCTGGCGGTCAACCCAATGCCACCGTACGAAGCAACATCGCTGATTCGGAGGGTCCTACCAGCCGAGACATCTCGGTTCGCCGCCAAGGCACTCAGGGGACTAGTGGTCAAGTTTCGTGAAGCAGGAATATTTCCACGAACCTCCCAGATGTACCTTGTCATCGGAGGCACAGCTCGCGAGTCGCACTCCAGTTCCAACACAAGATCTCCGTCCGGACCGACGTACTGTTTCGCTATCGCAACTCGGACGTAACTGACTGATACCTGCAAAGGAACAACTGAACAACTTTGTCCCGATAGGTCTGAACCCGCCACGCAAGTAAAGCGCCCGAAATTGTCTTCGTCTCTGAGTACATGGCGAGCGACGCTAGCCGACCCCGGCACAGTGACTAAAGGTTCTTGGAGCAATCGTTGGTCCTGGCTTACCAGAGACGAGTACCAAGACAGTTTCCTCGATACCCGTGCGTCCTCGGGAACTCGGCAGATCAAACTGACCAAGTCTCCCACTACAGGGTTTGGTGGACCGAAGGTACAAAGCGGGTGTCGTGGATCAATCACAGTCAAAAACACGTGCTTTGAAGTTGCCCCGTTGGTTTCTTTACATACATACTTCCCCGAGTCCCCGATCTGTACTTTGGCAAGTCTGAACTCACCCACGCAGTCACCAAATGAAATCTCCAAGCGTTCATTTGCTACACTGTCTCTGTAGATAAATTGAGAGCATGTCTGGTTTGTAATCATCAAACACGCAGAGTTGTAAAACAACCAGTTCACATTCGAACATGTCTGACAACGAAATGAGACTCTCTCTCCCACTGCAACAGTAAGGTTCCTCGGTGCCGTGCTTAGGGTTGTAGAAAAATCACACGAAACGATAAGTATTGACTGCAGAAACACCAGAGGTAGACATAAAGTACCCATGTCGAGCCTTCTGTGAGCCACGTGAGCCTCTGACGAATCCCTCCCAGGTCAACGTCAGAAATAGAAGTACGTGTGCGCACAGTAAAGTACTCTTCTCTCGAGTCCACCGTGGTTTATGAAACCCGGAAATTGACGATCAATTCCCTAAGTGACCTGGTACAGTCACACTGAATTTTAATTTCAAGTGCAACCGTCGAGACATCTATCTGAATGCTCCATTGTGAATCTACCAAATACAAGTCAGCTCGGAAACGGTCGTTTTATGCTAATTCTAGTATGAACTTTAAAACAAGGCACCTATCAATGCTTTTAACAAAAGAACTGAATGTCGCTTTTAGCAGTGAATGGACTTTTTAAAGAAAATTAAGAAAGAGAAATGATCAATTGATTATAGTACACGTGGTACTGAAAGTGAAACATGTACAGCCCGTAGAAGGTGCTGTAATGCATTCCGAATTTCCAAACTTTCAATTTCTTTTTTTTTCTAATCTTATGTATGAAGCTGTATACATTTAGCTACTTCAAACGCGTTATGTTACAGCAGTTTCCCTATCGAACGAGCAAACAGCTCCGCTTCAGAAATACTGTCGTTCTCCATTTGTCTTTAACATTAGTTAATTCAAATTGTGAAGGGTGGCTTCATAAATTGCTTGTGGAAAATAACTCTTTAAAGATCTTCCGACTTCAAACCTGTGCAAATTCGCAAGGGGCAATAAAAGCACATAGGAAAATGATCTTTGAAGTTGAACTGCCGTAAAGTTTACAGTAGGAATGATGAGCTAAGGTATCTCTATCTTGCTGGGACAGTATTGTTCATGTCTGCAATCAGGAGTAAAGATTGGTCTTCCAGTGGGTCTTAATTCTCAAAATGGGTAACCTCGGCAAAAAATGGTTCCAATTAACCTTCACACCGCATCGGGCTGCAAGTCTGAAGTCTAAAGTCAGTGACAGTTGGCCAAAAGGTGTCCCAGATTTTAACGTCAATACTAATAACGACAATCAATACCGACAGGATTCCGAGTCAACCAACAAGTAGCGGTTTGTGATGACTTATGTTTTCTCTGATACTTGGCAATTAGGGATCGTCTGGCATCATGTATATGTGTGAGATTGGCCGTTGGTTAAGCTCCATATACTCACTGTTGTTAGGAGCACTTGATTTTATAGTCTTTGGCACTTCATAGCCACTATCGTCTAGCTCCCTGACCAAGGCGTCTTCAGTTTCACCTTTTTCTTTCATGCCGGCTCTCCGTCTGCAAATGTTACACAGGACTGTAATGAGTATCACAACGCCCCCAAGTGTCAAGTTGATCCACACATATATCGCAGAATCACAGGAATCACTAGGCATTGGGTGATGGTCAAAAAGGCTGACGTTACCAGACTGTGATGTGTTCTCAGCGAGTGGTATAATAACCGATTGGCTAATGAGCGTCAAACCAGCGACGGTACAAGAACATGTCAGGTTCACAATGCACGCAGACACGCTGGTATCTTGAAGATGGAGATTCCTACCAAACTCGCTGATTTCAAACTTCCTCTCTGTATTTGCTTCCTCGAATGCGTAATCTTTGCACGCGGCTCGGACTGACCAACTGTAAGTCAAGGTTACTGGGGTCAAAGGTCGTGCGGCACATTCAAATGATGCATTCCTCTGTTTCCCATCCGAGACTAGGATCTCTACGGACGTTGGAGTAATGCTTGGCAAAGTCACCGTACACTTGGGTCCATGGATGCAATTCAGTCCTGCAATGCACATGAACTGTGTGTTGAAATCCCCACTCTGGAGGGTGTGCCTCACTGTCCATTCTGAACCCGGTGGGGTAATTTGACTGCGGGCAGATGAGCCAGTGACCCAAGTGAGTTTCGTGTCCGACTGAGAATCCGCAGGGACAGCACATGTTAACTCTACCGGATCGCCAATCTGGAAAACCTCGGAGAAATTCGCAAAGCATATTGGTGTTGGAGTCTGCGTAACTCGTAGAGTCGCACATCTCTGACGCACCTGTTGCACGGCCTCATTGCACACGTAATTGCCGCTATCACTGAGCTGTAAATCAGTAATCCTTAGCCTGGACGCACCGTCTTTGTACAACAAGGAGAAACGACTCATGTTTATGCCAGGCCTTTGCACGATGGTGCGACAGAGGCCAACGAGTTCCATCGTCTCCGTCGTACACTCGGTACTGGAGTACATCCACAACACGTTCTGGCAGCTCCCTCGGTTCTCTGGCGCCGTGCACCGCAGAACTAACTCGTCACCAGTCTGTGAGTAGAGGACCCTGGGTTCTTCCATGACAAAGCCGGGTCCCTCCCCACACACCGTGCGGTACCAGGCAACCAAGAGCAACAACTTGCTCAGGATTTTCATTCTTTAAGAGATCTTTTTAAATTTCCTACGACACAGTAACCGGGATTCTCAGCAAGCGATGGTCTTTGCTGAAGTAGTGTAAGGTGTGAACAGCGAACGGTTGACGTA